TATAATATTTATACGTTACTAGCTGGCTCTGTAAAATTTTTAGGTACCACCTAACATAATCAATGAATGTACTGATAAATTAAAGCTAAATTTAATTTATGATTTCATTAACGTAATAAAACGAATACAAAAAAATTTACAAAATTCAATAGTCCGTTAGGATAATATATTATAAAAAGCAAATAAAGATTTAATAAAACTAAAAAAATCAAGACATTTTACAACTAATCTATAATATATAACTAAAACAAAGTCACGGATAAAAGATAATTTTGGAACTCCRGTGATATGAACACGAATTCACTGCCGCAACAATTATGAGATTGTGACAGTTTTTCCAAAAAATATTGTTATTACACAAGATTTCAGTCTCCACTCGAGTTTTTCTCTGCAGTGAGGAGGCCCAGTAGTCTTTCAATATTTATTTTTTATTTTTTATTTAAATTTTATACAAACTGACCAAACTGTACATAAAAAAAAAAAGTACAATAAGCATAAATGATGTTATTTTTCTAAAATTATTATATGTATTAGCTTGATACTAGTTGGTATCTAGTTGGTACTTTGGAGGGGGGGGGGGTCAAATGTAAATAATTCTTAATATTTTTCTAAATAATCGAGATAAACAAACTAAAAATTATAAGAAAAACGGGAAATTTTAAGCACAATCACTTTTCGACAAAATCAATTTTAGTTTTTTATGTAACTCTAAAAAAAATGACCGCAGATATAATACTTGAAATTTTMACTGAATGTTTATATAGGCATTTTCTATATTCGATACAATTTTCAAAATATTTGTTTTGAGCTGTTTACTGACATTTTGATTTTTCAACTTACCTACTTAGTATTTTTTTTTCTATAAATATCGATAAAAATTTATTTGTTGGGTAGAAAAGCTTGAAAATTTAATACAAGGCTTCTAACACATTGTAACAAAGTTAACTATGTTATGTAACTGCATCAGCAGTTGAAAAATATTAAAAATACATAGGCATGATTTTTATTTTATAAGCATTTAAAGTTCATATTTTGACTAAATACGTAAAAATTACGGCAATGTTCAAATTACCTTAGATAGAAATTCATAATCATCTATAATATATCCTAGACAGATAAACCGTCTCCGCTCAGAATCGTTTTTCGTATATAATGATATAGGTAATATCATTGGATTCAAATTTAATTCCATCCATTACAGTAACCAGTAACCCACTTATAACCTACGCTGTACTGTACTGCAGAGTGATATCCACTTTCCCCCGCTTTTTTAGTTTTTTTTGAAGTGTTTTTTTTTTTTTTTTACTGAGATTTTTACCTATAACATTGAAAAAGATTTTTTATACAGGAGTGTTATATATGCCTTTTCAAGTATTGATATACAATTTGAGAAAGTTTTAATTTAAAATATATAGCCTTTTTAATCTATACCTATCACATTTTTGGTTGATGAGTGATTTTATTTTTGTGTAAATCATATGTTGTAAACATAACATGTGTTTAAAATGTCTAAAGAGCATCTGTGGCGTTTTACTTTTCTTGCTAATTATTTGTTAAGGTKATAAAAATAGGAAAACAAAATTATAACGTAACTATTACACGATTAAATTATATTATGGGAGGGGTAAATTAGGTGCATGTGATCTAGTGGAAGTGATAACGAGATTCGTGGTCGCTATAAATGTTATAATAAGAGTTTGCCATTCAAGCTTGTGTGAGAATAAGATAGTGTTGGCCTTGGCAGTGTTGCTAAGGATTAGTCGTTGACTGAGGGTTGTCCGTTTGAAGGGTTTATTCTTGTGAGCCGTCTGTTGTTTTTAATATCAATATATTGTCATTTTAAAGCAGCTCTACGATAATTTGTACTCTAGAGTCTGACATATACGATCTCCAGCATTCATTGTGGCTGTTAAAGGTCCCATGGCGAGAAAGGTGATAAACAATAATATGTTCTTTATCGGAAAGATTAAATTCTTTCTAATTGGGTATATAAATGTTATATACTGTTATATTTGTGTAGAACAGAGCGATAGTACCTATGAATTATGATAGTTTTTAGATTGATTTTGAGGAAGATTTCTATGATTGGATATGGTTAATTGATCATGTAGCCCACATCTCCGTTTGCTTTGATACATGTGTTATGGCTTTTTTTATAAATGTTGAAGATCCCTATCTTGGACTGTAGGGTTGTAGCTTTATATATWAAAATTGGTTTCTTAGATATATATGAATTTAGGGTTGCGATCTATAATAACAAATTATAGTTCTTCACGTTTATTGTAATACCCATTTATGACAATTGATAAGTAATACACTACCTATTCCAATACCTATACTAGTAAATTATATTTGTATATGTACTCATTATACTATAGTATTTTTATTTTATAATTTAAATCTAAGTCGCCAAGMTAAATACAATTATTAAATGAAATAACCGTTTTAACCTAAATCATATAATATATAGTTAAAAAATATAGCTATAAATTTATATGAYAACATTTACTTGTTTAAAAAAAAATAATATACTTAGCGATAATTTTAAACAAAATTTTACAGAGCGTTTTTGTTAAGATATAACATGATCAATGATGTAAATGTATTTAAATATTATATAGTTACTTAATTTTTATCTAAATAAATAACAATAAGTTTAAATGTTGTTGTTGACCCGTTCATCTCAACGGCTGTTTTTGGAATTTCAAAAAATATGTTCTAGTTGCCCTCACAAAGTATTATAGACATAATCATAATTCCAACCCGTAAAATATGGGGGGTAAATATGTAGATAATAAATAAAAATAATACACGATAAGTAAAAATAATATAATAATAATAATAACATTATTCGTTAGTTATTATTATAAGCATAACTCAGTACATATTATTTATAATAATATACTTAAATTGTTTACTATCATATTTTTTACTATATGTATTTTTATATTACAAAATATAATATTTTGTATATTTATTATGCATATAATTGAAAATATCTAAGCAAAATTTAATTATATTTTATAATATCTTATTTTTTTTTTGATAAATTACATTGTACAAATTTGATAAAATCTATAGTAATTTCTGTCATGACTATTTAGTGAAAATTACATATCCTTGCGGTCTTTATGTTAGAATTGAAAAAAAA